TGCAGATGACTGCTTTTAAAGGAAAATCCACCTTTCACCTGATTTTCCATAATTTCCTTAACTTTTCAAAATGACTATTGTGCTAATTTGACAAAGGTCCTTCTACCTTTTCTAATTTAATTGATCACAAGCCAGGCTGCCTCAAACTTTTTGAAGGAAACCCACAAATTCAGTCAAATGTGAAAAATACATTTGCATACTCTAAAATATATAAATATATTTGGTAATTTTTTGTCCCTGATGAGATCTACATATCTGCCTCCTGAACATCTGCTTTTTTTCTATCCCAAGGGGAATTTTGTAGTAAAAAATCATCTCACAACAGTGACTCAATTTGCTGTGCGCTCCCATTGAACGAATTGGGCAACTTTGACGGGCAGTCAAACTTTGCAGTCTGTTAAGCAAAGTATTGCAGCATGAGTACAGCCTTTTCAGGCTGTAATGTTAGCATTTGGGTGGTTGACTAGAGGGCAGTAAAATCACTGTAAAAATAGCCCTTGCAGCATGTTTCCATTGCTCATCCACTGCTCAATTTGAAACCTATAATGGCAATAAGATGCTTTTTCAAGTTCTGAATTTATCCCAGATGGAGCTTATACATGGCTGAGGAGTCTTGGCCTGTAAGAGGGGCTCTGTGATTAGCTGGATGTTGGTGCCAAAGCACAAGTCCCTGCCCCACTCCTGTCCTTTCTAGAACACTAATCCTGTTTATGAGGTTATACCTTCCACCATATTGTGCCCCACTTAATGCCAGAGGCCTCTGCATGACATTCCCGATCATTGACCTTTATATCCCCAAAAAGAAAGAATGTCCACACACAAATAAGGTTGATACACTGTACTGGTGGTACTTGGAAAATGGTACAGAACAGTCACATCACATTGAATACATTCTGGAGTCACATTTAGTGGACAGTCTGCAGCAGTTACATGTGACAGCATTTGCAGCACTTTAAGCAGCTATATTCCCTCTGACAGTCTATCCCTCTAACTGGGGTCATTGGTTATCACTGGAGTCCCCTTCTCCATAGGTACACCTCCAAGGGGATAGCCTCACTGAACTATTGGCCTGGCCTAAAAGACCTTTTGCAACCTGCCCTAGCTCCCACTTATTTAACACTCAGGAAGTCTACAGCTGGCTCTCCTGCGTGCAGGTCTATTTCTCTCCAGCCTCCAGCCCTATCCAGGATCTCCATGTGCTGTCTAAATCTGTACTCGTGTGGGGTGGTTGTGGCCCATGCCCCATCTGCACTAGAGTTCCTCCCAACCTGGCTTATATGTGGGTCCTGACTCACCCATGACATCACCACAAGAGGGACTAAAAGGGGCCTAGCACCTGATGACTCTACTTTCTGTAATCAGACATTATTCTGGAATACAGCCACATAGTGGCAGACTAGCTACCTGCACCTGCTTACCGGCTCATCGCCAAGTTTCACAGCTGTCATAAAAGAAAAGGAAAAACAGTCACATAATCCCCATACTCAGAAGTACGGGGTTTCTCTCTTAGCCCCAGGTGATGAACAAATTGGGAGTAATTGGGAAGGTAAAGAGAGAAAACATGTAGGGACAGCTTTACCTCTTTCTTTATCCTGCATGGGCAAAGCATAAGCTCACTTTAAGGTAGCAAATCCAATTTGACATTTGGAACATGCAAAAAGGAAAGATTAATGCCAAGCCACAAACAAAACACAGCCTCTATTATTTTATCTTTAGACCAGATCTAGAAGATTACAGAGTATGCCCCATACATTTAAAAATGTTATCAAAAGCTCAGTATACAAATTGCTACAGATCCATTCTATTACACATTCATTCCAAGTACATACAGAGGATCAGTTATAAAGATTACTTGCTAAGCCACCAGCAAAATAAAACTGGGATAATCAGCTACTCCAAAAAAATGAAAGTTAATTAAAGGGCCACTCAGATCTTTGTGAAAATGTACGCTATTTTGTCATTTAATTTCCTGAAAGTGCCTCTTGTGCTCTAGTCTTTGTTAAATGAGTAAATAGCATGCTATGTTACTGTTTAGAAAGAACAGTGAATGAAATAATAACTCTGATACTAATCAAAATTTGCATCTCAGCTGTCCACCTAGCATAGCCCTGAACTATTACACTTTTTCCATTAAAAAATGAACAATTTATAGGTCTCAATAACTCTTAAAGAGCTGTTGCCAATTTTCAATCTGCCAGAATGTATAACCTGTAAAATACTGCCTATGTCACCATACACTGCTCCATTCCAGAGGAATGGTCCTCTAAATTCTGCTGGGAATCAAACGCTTGTCAATCTCCCAAGTCCCACACAGTACTCACTGGTTCCTCCTGCCAAATTCCATGTCAATAAGAAGTCCTGGGAGGTACTGGGAGGAACAAGTGATTGGAGAAGGAATGAGTCAGGTTTTTCCTACTGTTTGTGATTCTCCTTCTCTATATGTCCAGATGACCATTTTCAAAAATAAGAGGGAAATCTTGCAAAGGGTACACTCATTCTGACAGGTATGCTCTCACTTTCTGTTGTGTCTGCAGGACAGGAGTTGAAGAGAATTCTCCGCAGTGGGACACAAAAAAAGAAAAAGTAATCCTTACCTATTCTATCTAAACCTAACAAATGTTTATTTTTCGACATACAGTATTTTAACAAGATCAACAGTCTACTTCTTTAGCAAACCAACCCCAATAATTCAATCAACATTTTTAACAGAAGCTGAACAAAGAACTTTGATGAGGTGTATCTTGACAGTGGGGCTGGTATTCTTATTGGGGGGAGTCGATTCAATAAAGCATTGACAACACTTTTCTGGCATTATGACCGTATTAGAAAGTCCTGCACCAAATTCATGAAAGCTATTTAACACATTTTTATCGCTCTTTCCAACATGTGTAACAAATCCAGGTAGTACATTTATACATTCTGGCGCTATTGACTGTGACAAGTTCTTAACCTCCCTAGCGGTATGATTATGTCAATATTTCTGTGCTCAAAGCGGTAAATTTTTTTGCATGGAAATATGTAGTTTTTTTATTGTAGGCCTGTAATTTTTAGGAATAACTCACTGAAATCTGTCCGAACAAGAGTCCAGTAAACATCCCGGGTATGATAAAATTTGAAACACGAAATCATAAATTATAATATAATAAATAATCATAAAAATATTAACATAATAATAATACATTTAATTCAATAATATAATGAAACCAAAAACACTGAAATTTGAAATAGAGCGCCAAGTTCACACATCACTGGGCTTAGTCGCAAAATCATTTTCAGTGTCTGATGACGAATTTCCCCACAAATCATTATCACTCAATTCTGCAAGTGGTTCTGATTTACAATCTAAAACTGCTTTTGACATAAAGGGACACTTTTTGGACGCCATGAAAGTTTCTCAGTTTCAAGGCAGAAAGAATGGTAAAAATGCAGGCAGGGCACAGGACAAAGCACTAAGGACAAAATGTATGTGAAATGCTTTGATACAGTAATGTTATACTATGTGATTTTAGTGTATTTAGTGAATGTCACTTTTTAACATTTTTAAATATACCGCTGGTTCCGGCCCCTGTACATCCCGTACGTCCCGACGCTCGCGGAAACCCGCAATCGGTCGTAGGAGATGGCCGGGGACGCTGCAGGGGGGACATTGCAGGAGCAAAGGTCAAGGTAAGTGCTGAAGGGAATCCTTGAGCAACGCTGCAGCGTAATCTCGAGTGTAGCAAGGGGTTACCACTTTTGGCACTGATAGTTAACCCCGAGCTACACTCAGGAATACCTCCATATTGGAAAAAGAGAAGAAAAATAGAAGTACAAGATTTCCAGAATGCCCACGGTGTAGCACTATGGTGGTGAGTCACACAGCCATTCGGACTTGATAGTGTTCTAAGTTGCACTCACCTGGGTCTCAGACCACTTGGCTCAGTCTTTACAGAGCAGTGCAAGAAATAATACGTGCGTGCGTTGCACTGTTGATGAAAAATGGGTGACAGGAATCTGGAATAGCAGATTAACATCATATTTTGCGTAACAAATTGGCAAAAGTGCGAGTGGAACTTTAGATCTGTTGCAACAGGCTTACAATGAACATTCCATAAAAAGAAATCATGTGTTTCTGAATAATATAGGCAGTATAAGGAGGGGTGGGAAGATGTCCATGATGATGCAAGAAGTGGGCCAAAAACGCAAAGGACAGATGCAAATGTGGACAGAGTGCGAACCATCGTATGCTCAGATTGAACATTGAGTGTGCAAATGATGGCAGAAGAATTGAACATGAACAGGAAAGCAGTGTAGCAGATTATAAAAGAGGATTTGAGAATGAGAAAGATTTTCACAAAGATGGTGTCTCAAATCTTGACAGAAGATCAGAAAGATTGTCTTCTTCTCAAAAATTTCTTTTGAAGATCTTTTGAAGAATGCAGAAGTGTTTGATTTTTTTTTTAGCGTTCATTCCTGGAAATTAGCCGCTTCCCAACCACCCTGTAGCAGAACTACTGCTGCAGGGTGGCAGGGCTGCACAAGATTACACACACATATAATATATATATATATATATATATGTGTGTGATTTTGTATTTCCGGGTAGGGAGTGCACGCTCACCGCCCTACTACCGCCGCCATCAGCGGCTACAGCTGTTGATCATGACACAGATGGCAACACAGATTTGGACACAGATTTCTAAATGTTAGAAATTCTGTATATAGTTCTACAGAATGGACAGTGCACAGACCACATGTGTTATCTGCTGCCTCTCTGCAAACAGTAAACAGGAACTTTATTATTTAGAAAAGACATCGTGTTTAACAGCCTCCCGCCCGCCATATAGTAATATGATGGATGCAAGGTGGTTCTCTCGTTTTGGGAGGACGACATATGATGTCCTCCCATTCTTACCGCACATGCGTGGCTCCCGGAGCCCGCAGCGCGGCGATCGGCGGTGCGCTGTGTCCCTCGGACACAGCGGATCACCAATCCACGGAAAGAGCAGAAGATGTCGGCTCGGTCATGTGATCAGCTGTGTCCAATCACAGCTGATCACATGTAACAGGGAAATGCTGGTTATCGGCATTTCTCTCCTCTCGGGCTGTCACGCTGACAGCTCGAGAGGAGAGGAGAACTGGTAATCGGAATTCCGCGGAGGGCACATGTACACTGATCATCAGAGCACTGATGATCAGTGTGCCCTGATGATCAGTGTAGCCCCAGCAGTGCCACCTGTCAGTGTCCATCAGTGCCACATCAATGTCACATATCAGTGCCTACCAGTGCACGCCAATGCCACATATCAGTGCCCATCTGAGCTGCCTTTCACTGTCACCCATCAGTGCCAGTCAGTGCCACCTATCAATGCCAGTCAGTGCCACCTATCAGTGCTGCAAGTCAGTGCCACCTATCAGTGCCAGTCAGTGCCACCTATCAGTGCACATCAGTGCCGCCTGTCAGTGCCGCCTAACAGTGCCAGCCAGTGCCGCCTATCAGTGCTGCCTTTCAGTGCCCATCAGTGATGCCTGTCAATGCCCATCAGTGCCACCTACCAGTGCCTCCTCTCATCAGTGCCCATCAGTGCCACCTATCAGTGTCCATCAGTGCAGCCTATCAGTGCCCATCACTGCAGCCTCATTAGCGCACATCAGTGAAGGAGAAAAATCACTTATTTACAAAATTTTATAACAAAAACTAAGAACTTTTTTTTTCAACATTTTCAGTGCTTTTTGGTTTGTTTAAGAAAAAAAAATTAAAAACCCAACGTTGATTAAATACCACCAAAATTAAGCACTATCTGTCACAAAAAAATGATAAAAATGTCATATGGGTACAGTGTTGCATGACCGTGCAATTGTCATTCAAAGTGCAACAGCGCTGAAAGCTGGAAATTGGCCTGGGCAGGAAGGGGGTATAAGTGCCGGTAGGCTAGCGGTTAACCATAGCTGCAGCTACACACTCATAAACACTGCCATCTACTGGTTGAAGAATACAAATATGATTCTGCACTTCCTTGTCATGGGCGAACGCATGTGCCACTGCTGCTGTAATTTGTCACAGTAGAAGCCGGATGCAAGCCAATGGATGAGCACCGACACATGCTGATCGTCTAGGAGACTAACAGAACACAGCTCTGTAAACAATAAAGAGCTGTGTCCTATCAGCAGAAATGTGCTGGGTTTTCTGTCCCTAGAATAGAATCCAACACATTACCTACTGAAAACAGCACACACAATGCCCATTACACTTAGCTAGGCACACAGGTGACCCTTTGAACACGCTTGATGTTTAACCCCTTCCCAGCCAGTGTCATTAGTACAGTGTCAGTGCATATTTTTAGCACTGATCACTGTATTAGTGTCACTGGTTCCCACAGTGTCAGTGTCCGATTGTCCACTGCAATATCGCAGTCCTGCTATAATTCACTGACCGCCGCCATTATTAGTTTAAAAAAAAAAATTCTAGAATACATACCAAAGATTGCAGATACTATAATGTTTGTGCAAACATTATAACCATTATTAATGTTTGTATTATTGTATTATTATTATTATATGGTTATTGGGATTTTGTTTACCAAAAATATGTAGCAGCATATTTTATTGAATATGTTTTATAGTAGAAAAATATATATTTTTTTCCTAAATTTGTCTTTTTTTGATCATAGCGCAAAAAATAATAAACCCAGAGATGATCAAATACCACCAAAACAAAGCTCTATTTGTGGGAAAAAATTACATAAATTTCATTTATGTACAGCATGGCATGACCGGGCAATTGTCAGTTTAAAATAATGCAGTGCCATATCACAAAAAATAGCCTGGTCAGGAAGGGGGGGGGGGGGGTAAATCTTCCAGAGGTCAAGTGACCTTTTTTCTTGCACACAAAGCATTCACGTTTTTGCTTGTTGCATGTTACGGTTTTTATTCCTATTTTCCTCTTTAAAACAGATTCTGTGACAGAGGCACCGTCTCTATTAATGCTTTCTGTTTTACACTTATATTCATCCATAAGCTTGCCCTTAACATATTCCAATGTCAGTCCATCATCTGGATGTGCATCAAGTGCTGTGAAAAGTATTTCATAACCTTCTGGTAAACCACTAAGTAATAGTGCTGCGACATGAAAACTTTTTATTTCTTCTCCTACACCTCTCAGATGTTCAGTCATTTCAAAGGTGTGCCTTATGTAATCCTGCATAACCTGGCCTTTCATCAGCTTCGTTTAGTGTAGCTTTCTAATCAAATATAGTTTCAAATACAGTTTATTGCTGTGATTGGCTCTTCCATGCACCTTTTGTAATCCTTCCCACATTTTATTAGCAGTTTCTTACTTACATACAGTGAGGAACAGAAGTATTTGAACACCCTGCGATTTTGCAAGTTCTCCCACTTAGAAATCATGGAGGGGTCTGAAGTTCACAATGTAGGTGCATTTCCACTCAGAGAGACAGAATTAAAAAACAATTCAGGAAATCACATTGATTTTTAAAGAATGTATTTGTCTTGCACTGCTGAACATAAGTATTTGAACACCTAAGAAACAGCAAGAATTCTGACTCTCAAAGACCTGTTACTGTGCCTTTAAAAAGTCCACCTCTACTCCACTCATTAATCTAACTTAGTAGCATCTGTCTGAGCTCTTTAAAGACACCTGTCCACCCCACAGTCAGTCAGACGCCAACTACTACCATGGGCAAGACCAAAGAGCTGTCAGAAGACACCAGAGACAAAATTGTGGACCTCCAAAAGGCTGGAAAGGGCTACGGGGCAATTGCCAAGCAGCTTGGTGAAAATAGATCAACAGTTTGAGCACTGTTAGAAAATGGAAGAGACTAAAGACGACTGTCAATCTCCTTCGGACTGGGGCTCCATGCAAGATCTCGTGGGGTATCACTGATGATAAGAAAGGTGAGGAATCAGCCCAGAACTACAAGGGAGGAGCTGGTCAATGACATGACGAGAGCTGGGACCACAGTTTCAAAGGTCACTGTCGGTAGAACACTACGCCGTCATGGTTTCAAATCATGCATTGCACGGAAGGTTCCCCTGCTCAAGTCATCACATGTCCAGGCCCTTCTGAAGTTTGCTAATGACCATCTGGATGATCCAGAGGAGGCATGGGAGAAAGTCATATGGTCAGCTGAGACCAAAGTAGAACTTTTTGGTCTAAACTTCCTTTGTCGTGTTTGGAGGAAAAAGAAGGATGACTTGCATCCCAAGAACACCATTCTTACCGTGAAGCATGGGGGGGTGGTAACATCATGCTTTGGGGGTGCTTTTCTGCGAAGGGGACAGGATGACTGCACTGTATTAAGGAGAGGATGAATGGGGCCATTTATTGTGAGATTTTGAGCAACAACCTCCTTCCCTCAGTCAGAGCATTGAAGATGGGTCGTGGCTGGGTCTTCCAACATAACAACGACCTGAAGCACACAGCCAGGATAACCAAGGAGTGGTTCCGTAAGAAGCATATCAAGGTTCTGGAGTGGCCTAGCCAGTCTCCAGACCTAAATCCAATAGAACATCTTTGGAGGGAGCTGAAACTCCGTGTTGCTCAGCGACAGCCCCGAAACCTGACAGATCTAGAGGAGATATGTGTGGAGGAGTGGGCCAAAATCCCTGTTGCAGAGTGTGCAAACCTGGTCAAGAACTACAGGAAACGTTTGACCTCTGTAATTGCAAACAAAGGCTTCTGTACCAAATATTAACACTGATTTTCTCAGGTGTTCAAATACTTATGTTCAGCAGTGCAAGACAAATAAATTCTTTAAAAATTATACAATGTGATTTCCTGAATTTTTTTTTTAATTCTGTCTCTCCCCCCTCCATGATTTCTAAGTGGGAGAACTTGCAAAATCGCAGTGTGTTCAAATACTTCTGTTCCTCACTGTATATCATCTTTTATGATTAGAGAGATTGTGCTCTGAGCTTTCTGGTCTTTCCCTATCCACTCATCTGAAGGGTGTTCTGGCCTGACTTCATGTATACATTTCCACATACTTTCTTTAATTAGTAGCATTTACATCTTGAATTTCCAAGACTGGTAGTTCTGGTTTGTAAATGAAAGCTTTGCTGCAGCTGTGTCACTGGCCATTTTCTGTTTATTCTCTTGCAGTCTTCTGTTGCTGTATCTTGCATTTCCTTGCTGTAGCAAGCCATGATTGGGTGTCTCCTCTGATGGGCAGTACTGGATGTCGATAACCCCTTGTTCTTGCATGTCTCTGAGCAGATGATATCTTACATCAATGTGCTTGGTTCTTCGGTTAATCTTCTCAGAGTGCGTAAGCTTTATGCATCCCTGATTGTCTTCAAAGATGGGTGTGGGTTGTGACATATTCAGTCCCATGTCTAGTAGAAGTTGACGAATCCAAATGGCTTCTTGACATGCATGTGCTGCTGCTATGTATTCCGCTTCAGTTGAAGAGAGTGCAACAGTCACTTGTTTCCGATGGTTTTGCGACCGGGAGGGAGTTCTGTTAGTGACCAAGTTTTATTTTCTTGAAGTGATTTTATTTCTTCTTCAGCTGCTTTTCTCCACTGATCGGCTTCCCTTCTCGGCAAAGTTTCTCTATGTCTTCCCAGGATGTTGGCTCCTGTGTTTGATGTGTTTTAGCAGCGTATGATAACCTGCGGGGTGGTATCCCTTTTGTCAATCGAGAGGATCTTCTGATTTCTTGTTGTTCAGTGGGTTCTATTGGATCGTTGATTGTAAGTTCCACTTCTTGTTCTGGCTCTTGTCCTGCTTCGCATAAATCAGTGTCTCTTGCCGATTCAGTGTGTAAATCCTCTCCACATTTTTCAAGAATTATATTATCTGGTGCTTCACTTTCATTAAAATAAACACTGTGGCTTACTGTGACCTTGTTGGTCTTTGGACAAAGGATTCTATATCCCTTACTCTGCTCACTGTAGCCCACCAGAATGCCTTCTATGGCTTTGTTCTCCAACTTGGAGCGTTTCTGACTTGGAATGTGGGCATATGCTTTACAGCCAAATACTCTGATATGTCCTACATTAGGTTTTGATCCATTCCACATTTCATATGGTGTACTCTCAATAGCTTTTGATGGGAGCCTGTTTTGTAGGTAGTTGCAGTCATTACTGCTTCTCCCCAGTATTTGTTAGGTAAGCCAGCGTCCGTAATCATACATCTGGTCATTTCTACAAGAGTGCGATTCTTTCTTTATGCTACAAAACCGTTTTGCTCAGGAGTGTATGGTACGGTTGTTTGGTGTATAATACCTTGTTTCTTTAGGTATGATTCCATCTCTTTATTCATATATTCCCCTCCATTGTCAGTGCGTATTATTCCAGGTTTCCTTTGAAACTTGTTGCTTGTCATAGCTACAAACTCTTGAAATTTTTCTAATGTCTCACTTTTGTGCTTCATTAGATACGTTATTGTGTACCTGGAATAATCATCGATGAAAGTCAGTAAATACCTG